CCACAGATGTGATTGTCGATGTTTCGACTTCAGCCGTCAGTCGTTGTCGGTCAATAGAATGCAGATTTTCCTGCATTGAGAAGAGTATGCGAACAACTTCCACCTCGTCCTTCTTCTCTTTTCCTTCCCTTACTCGTTGCTTGAGTTGTTTGAGACTTTCAACCTCTCTTCGCTTCTTATCAACCTCCCTCCGTAGTTCTCCTAGTTGTGACTTGGACTTGCCCAAGACATTGCGCAAGAAGACCTTTGCGGTCTCGTCAACTACCATGGTACCATCATCGTGCCAAACCGGGCTGGCTTCGAAATGCTTATCGGGCGGTTCGTTGAACGCTCCCATATTGTGTTGAATATACATCATGGAGTCGAGATGCGGCAAGTTCCTCTGGATCTCGGTACCCTGGTGTTGGACCATACCGTTGCTCTGTTGCAACATGTCAGACTCGAGGTTGGTCGCGACTGTCCAGAGACTGTTCAGCTTCGTCGTTCGAAACTCGCTAAGATCCTGTAGACTATCCATAACCTCAGGTACATATTCGTGGTAATATTTCTCCTTCTGCTTGTTCGTAACATTGATCGCAATGATATAGGTGTTCTTGGCGTTGTTCATCTCGAATAGCTGTTGTTGGTAGGCATTCTGAGCCTTGGCCTTGTCATAATGCGACTCGGTCTTCTTACGCTTAGACTCGACCTCTTGGCAGACAGTGTCGTATTTACCCTTTGTCTTGGCGAGTGAGGCATATGAAGCATCGCGCTCCTGCTCGAGCTTGGTGGCATAGTCGGAGTGTCGTTTGCGCAATTCTTCGAAACGGCCGCCAAAGAACTTGAGCGGCTCGGCGACCTGGGAAATAAGATTGTTGGCGTAACGGTCATGTTCGTTGGCGCGGGATTCGAGCGTCGTAAGCTGGGTTGTCCATGTGGTCAAAGAAGCACTGTAGTTGTCGCACAGTGATCAGCGTGTTTTCAAGCCAACTCATGGGGGATTACGTTCGTACCTCTCGAGGGAGCCGGGCGTCATGGCAGGAGTGTCTCCTACACTAAGCTGGGCCGTCTTCTTGTTCTTCTTGTCAAAGTACTTCTTAGCAAGTGCTGTAAGCTTTGCGCTATATTCCTTCTCGATGGCTGCGCGCTCGCGGTAGAATTGCTGTATATCTTCAAGCCAGGCGATACCATGACCGAGCCATGCGTTCGCGGGTTTGAAGCCATCCTAGGAAGCTGTCTGTTAGCCATGCGAATGTTGAGAGAGCAGGTGAAAGGAGCTTCCAATGCAGGCGCAAGACAAAAAGGAGGCCGCGATGATGAATTATCAACAACAGGCTACCGTTAGCCAAGTAGGCAACCAACCTTGAGCTCTGAGCCAAATGTGGGCATCGCGTCCACCTCAGCCATGATGGGCAACGTATGTATTCAAATCGATCTCAGGAGCGAGGGGTAATCGGTCGGCGCGGATGAGACGGAGACATGTACGAGATCGCAGAATCGAGGCCGAAGATGTGTCGAGAGGTAATAGCCTGAGTTATGAAATAAGCTTAGAATTGGTGGTTATTTGTAAAAGTGAGGTTATAATGGACAATGACAGCCAGCGATAGCGGGGGAAGATAAGGCGCAGCTTATGAGGATACAATAACTAAAAGGTAGTTAACTACAATTGAAGAGTAGACTAATGAAGAAGGAAGAAGGCGCCGCCGCACCGCGCCGCGTGGGCAGCCGATAGAACGCCCGACCCTGCAGGTATGGAGTAGGTGGTCAGTTTAGGCTCTAGCGCCCCTAATTTGCAGCATTCAGAGCCTAAAACCCCGCCGATGAAGAAATATTGGGGGCGCCCCCATCATGCGCCCCAGCTCGACGCCAGTCTAGGAATTGATGGAGAGAAGACGAGGAGGGTTTCATTGACTTTTTGAGCAAGCCCAAGACCTTTCAATTTAGGCTTGGGAAGACTTTGCCGATTTCCTGTCTGAGCCGCATGACACTTTGTCAGAGTCGCATTCATGTAGGTTCGATAAAGCGCCCCACAGTCGGCCATTGGTCTTGCCAGGCGCCGCGCATTTTCATTAAGCTTGCTCGCTCATTTCAACTTCACAACTCCATCATAACAGCACCAACCATATCAGCTCATTTAATCACTTACTATTCACCATTCTGTCTCTCGACATCCCAATATCAAAATGCTTCCAAGATTCTCTCGCTCAATCTTTACCTCACTATTTCGACGATCGCCGCCTCCAAAGCTCCTGGCGCCTCCAGCAGACTCTCATCTCCGGGGCCAATACCCCTCTACTGAGCAGATGCAGCGACACTTGTACGATAGAGCTATTGCCAAAGATGCCGCTAGTAAGTCTTTTTCCTTACTATAGCAAGCCAGTAACTCACTATCTAGTTGCCAATATGCCCTGGTATAGAAGAATGTTCCGCCATCCCATCTAGGAGATGCTCCAATATGTCAGCTCGGCTTGCGGTATCTGGGTAAGTTTCTTGGTATAGACATATCAATATGATCCTAATTTTATTTTAGTCGGTTTAGATACACGTTCAGGAACCCATAGCAGCAAAGTTCTGGACAGTCTGGGAGTTCCTATATAACTTATTATAAGTTCATCTAGCATCCCAGACACACTCTACTCCTCTTTTCAGCAAACACTACGGTTTTACTATACAATAGCGATTAAATATGAGCGCTACTATGACACACCAGGGTGTCTCTATTAAAGTACCAGGGAGAGATGGATTTATACATAGCTTAATACAAGGATAGCGTCTCTCTTACACAAATCCGGGTTGGCGTATTCTTCCACGTGCCTTATTCCTAAAATTCGCCTATGCGAAACTAAAACTATCAGACCGTTATTACTATCTAAAACCGTTCTCTCAACTCTACTTCTTCATCGTCAGTTGTTGTCCTTTCAGTCATTATCGTGTCTTTTCTTATCAGCGATACCCCTTGCCAAGACAAACCTCAATCTCACTTAATCACCATGGCACTCACACTCCAAACAGCCATTGACAAGAGCAATCCGCTCGCAGCGGCCATTATCGTGCCATCTAAGCCCGAGGCTCTCACCATTAGCTACTCCAACCTCGAGACCGACGTGTCCGCCTTCCAGCGCAAGCTCGCCGATCTCGGCATCACAAAAGCCGCGCCCGTATCTATCGCGCTTGTCAACTCGTACGAGTTCATTGTCTCTTTCCTTGCTGCTTCGTGGCAGCGCGGTATCGCGGCGCCTCTTAACCCGGCTTATAAGCAGGATGAGTTTGAGTTCTACATCCAAGATGTCAAGAGCGCTATTGTGCTTGTTCCTAAGGGTGCTTGGGCTGCTGGTGCGGCCAGTGTGAAGGCTGCTAAGAAGTTTAACGCTGCTGTCGCTGAGTGTTATTGGGACGCTGCCAAGGGCGAGGTTGTGCTCGATGTCAAGGATTATGGTCTTCTGAAGGGTAAGAAGGAGAAGGTCCTCACAGCTGAGCCTGATGATGTTGCTCTTATCCTTCACACCAGGTAAGTTCTCATGATAACTATGATATAAGCCCATAACTAACAATTTGATAGCGGTACTACCTCGCGACCCAAGGTGGTAAGTAGACTTACTTGTGATTCTCGTTGACAGTCTATACTCACATGAATAGGTCCCCCTCACTCACCGTAACCTGACCCGAACCATGAGTACGCTATACTACACCTCCTTTCACCCCATTTACTGACTCTGCCATAGACAACATCAAGAACACATACCAACTCACATCCAAGGACCGAACCATGCTGGTCATGCCTCTGTTCCATGTCCACGGCCTTCTCTGTGGTCTCCTCGCTCCTCTCTTCACCGGTGGCTCCATGGTCGTTCCCACCAAGTTCTCCGCCTCGGAATTCTGGACAGATTTCAACACCCACAAGGCTAACTGGTACACTGCCGTTCCCACGATCCACCAGATCCTGCTTAAGAACCCTCCTCCAAGCCCCAAGCCCGAGATTCGCTTCATCCGATCATGCTCCAGCCCTCTGTCACCTACCGTCTTCCAGCAGCTTGAGGAGACATACAACGCCCCTGTTCTTGAGGCCTACGCCATGACTGAGGCTGCTCATCAGATGACATCCAACCCTCTTCCTCCCGCCAAGAGAAAGGCCGGAACTGTTGGTATTGGCCAGGGTGTTGAGGTTAGGATTCTCAATGAGCAGGGTGAGGAGGTTCCTCAAGGCTCCGAGGGTGAGATATGCATCATTGGCGAGAACGTTACCAAGGGATACCTCAACAACCCTTCCGCCAATGCTTCTTCCTACCACAAGAACGGTTTCTTCCGAACAGGCGACCAGGGTAAGAAGGACGAGGATGGCTATATCATCATCACCGGCCGTATCAAGGAGCTTATCAACAAGGGCGGCGAGAAGATCAGCCCCATTGAGTTGGACAATGTCTTGACCCGTCACCCCAAGATCAGCGAGGCTGTCAGCTTCGCCATTCCCGATGAGGTCTACGGTCAGGACATTGGTGTTGCTGTTGTCCTCAAGAATGGCGAGAAGTTGACTGCTGAGGAGCTCAAGGCTTGGGTCGCTGAGCGATCTGCCAAGTTCAAGGTGCCCAAGAAGGTGAGTTTCTCTGAAATACGCTCAACTCATAGAGGGCGCAAGTGCTAACAGTGATTTAGATCTACTTCACCGAGATCATGCCCAAGACCGCAACTGGCAAGATCCAGCGAAGAATCGTTGCCGAGACCATGATGAGCGCTCCCAAGGCGAAGCTGTAAATGTGCTGTTTGTTTTACAGTCGCATAGATTTCAAGTTTAGAAGATTACAGGAAGAGAGTCTAGAAGAAGTTGGATAGAAATTGTTTCCAAAATTGATAAAGCATCGCTATTTAAATGCGGCTAAAATCGATTTATCCCACGCTGTCTAGCATGTTTATTCCCTGGTCATGATCGTGACCAATGACCTCCACCATTCCCCTCGTTTTATATCCCGTCCCGTAAGATGCCGACAAACTCCTCCACATTAATCTCATATCCGATATCTTTTCCCTTAATCGTATTGTCCATCATGATCCGCAACCTCAATAACATCATCGTCATCGTTGATGTACAGCCGACTATCATTCCTCTTCAATCCGGGCTTCTCAGCACCCGGTGCATGAACCTTTCTGTTCGTCACAGTATGTCGCTCAACCCAAGCCGCTGTGCCATCAGCTGCCTCCCATCGCAGCGGTGCCTTGGTAAGTGAGTCCTTGGCGTCTCCGTCCACGGGCTTGGCGCTCGCAGGGTCAACGCCTGCTTCTTGTGCTTGGTGAAGAAGTGCAGCGTTGGCGTCTTGAAGATCAAGAAATACAGAGGTGATTGTCACGTTGGACTCTGTGTCGCGCTGCAGGAGGATGTAGACTGAGGGAGCCATGATAGGCTGGTTCCGTAGTTTGTATGGGGATGGGAGGTAAGTGTGGTTTCCGGGTAGAATGTATGGCATAAGTTGTTGTGTGTAATTGTGTGTAATTGTTGAGTAGTAGTGGTATGTTTGTTCAATTGTGTGAGTATGGTTGGGAAAAGAAAGAGAGTGAAGCTGAGATATTATATCACATTCAGATCCCACCTCATGCGTGCACGAGCCTCCACTGACACAATCCAATTGCCAGGTGACCTAACCAGCATCTACTAAGGTACAGACGCATCTATCTTAGACCCCTCCCCCGCCAGCAATTGCGCGACTTCTGGCTTGTCATAAGTGGTGTGACTGCTCATGAGGCGAGAGTATGACCAGGTTTAGCAAGCAAGGCATATTACCTATTCAGTTCTTCTCGAGTCCGTTGCGGCCGAATTCACTTGCTTCATCTCGAGGCCTGAGATCCCCGTGGGGGGCGAATTGCGCAGTACGGAGAACCAACGCCGAAGCTTCGGAGCTGAAGCGGAGCCAGCCCGGGTTTAACGACTCCGGTCCGTCCGGTAGTCGCCGATTGAATCAAGTTATGATGTAAGTTTTGAACCCATGATATGAAAAATTCTGTACCGCCAAGTTGCGAGCTGAGGCATAGATAGAACCTCTTCTTTCATTGTAGTCTTCATCCCCAGATACAGTGACCCCAGAAATCCATCATGGCACGATATATCCACCATATCCATCTTACTAGCAAGGATGATACACAGCATGATGACATACGATGCAGACGACCTCAACAAAACGAAAGAGATCTCATCATAATGCTCAGGCCCTAGAAATGCTACAGGTTCATTACAGTGACGTTGAGTTTTCGGAAAGTTTATAATCTCGGGAACAAGACAGAATCAGATTCGCCGAGTTTCCCGATGGCATTGACTGCTTAAAAACAGGGTCTCGTTGTTGGGTCAGGGTCCAAGCAGGTATTCGCTCGCTTAGCAGAGCTACCCCTGAAAATAAATACATCATCATTTGACCTCATCGATGGGGCACGGCTTAGCTTTTTGACATCGCGTCCCATCCTCCGTATATCGGCGATCTTCTGTTTTTCCATCTTGAGTCAATTGCTCATGAAAACGGAACCATAGGATGTCTGTTTCTAATGAGAAATATCGGAGCCTTCGGAGATGCGAAAATGATGACGGTTTATACTCGACAAAAGAAACTGCAATTTATTACTAACAAATATGTAATAAACTCTACAATATACAAGTATACAAGAATAATCTCCTCCCACTTACATCGATATCCTTGATTGAAGTCTCCAGACCAGAGTTTCCATTGCAAACAAATCTATCAAAATGCCAAATCTTGACCAGTATGATAAACAGTGCGCTCATGACTAGGCCTCTATTAGTCACCTTTGGATCTCGTACTCGTCGCCAACTGGAAGAGCAGAGTCAAGTTTCTTGATCTCATGCTTCAGATTTCGAGTCATAACTCCAACCAAGAGGAAAATCGTCGTGATCAGCATCTCTGGTACAACACTCAGGCAGACCTGAACTGCTTTCGAGGTCAAGAAACCTGAAGTTGGGTGTGAGATCTTAAGCTGGAGATATGCGATACCATATGCAAGGCGCAACCCAAGGAGGGGAAGATTTATAAAGACTACATACATAAGCTTGGAAGTGTCAGTATCCGCGTCTCGATTTTGGCGATGGTAAAGGATTTGGCTTACTAGCTTACCACCGCGAAAGGAAGATACACGGTTGTTTGTAGATGATCTTTGACACTTTCCGAGAGACCACAAAGCCCAGATCGCGAGAAGGAACCATGCCAATGCAATGAGTGCAGAGGCAACCTTGAGCAAGGTCTTGTTGGTGGAAATAGAGTCACCATTTTGTAAACCGACAACAGACACGATGATGAGGGCCATAGCTGCTCCAACTAGACCATGATACTTGATCTCGAGAATAACATCAAGTTTTCTGTTGAGTCTAGGGTTCGTTCCACGTCGACTAACCAATGGTCAATGGAGTGCAAGAAACTATTGGAGGTCGGTACTTACGCCTCGTGCAAGATTCCAGAAGCAGCCAACAGCAAGGGAGAAAGACCAATACTGTTGAGTATAATTGATCCAGTTGAGCTGTCTGTTTCATGAAGGCCAATGCCACCAGTAACAATTCTGAGGACACAGAATATCTGGACGTAAAGCCATCCTATAAATCCAGTCTTTCCATGCTTGAAGAGGCAGTACAGAGCAGGTTGGAGGAGAATAATGTAAATGGCTAGTTTAGCCGCTGAGGTAGAGTCTGTCATTTCGAAGGAGGAAAAGGGTTGAAATCGTTGTGAGTTGTGATGTCTGTCTCGATAAAGACTGCCAAGAGCACGAATATTTCTACGTTATTATACCTATTACCGTGACTCCATTTCTGGCTGCGTCTTCAACACTGCCTTTCTTCATTATGGAAAGCATTTTCGACGTCGAATCCCAATGAGGAAACGAATTCGACGAAATCATCTCTCAGCCAATCATAAGTAACTAAGAACAAGTGTAAGCGATGATGGTAATGTAGTGGCTGAGTTACACTAGTGTTGACGATCACGACTAACAGCTTAAGGTTCTCACGTAATCTCATATCAGGCTACATCTTCAACTGCCGCTGTTATATTTCGTCCATAGTTACATCTTGCTCCAGCAAAATCCTCTTTGGCCAATCAAGTAAACTCTGCCATTCTTCAGGCACAATCAGGCAAATTGCTCGAACCTCCCTAAACCCGGAGTCGCCTATCCACCAGTGCTTACTGACCGTTGATAGAAGCGCGAAGTAATGTGCGAGTATGACGAGGGCCCTTGGCCGAAGCTCTTCTACCATATCGGCGAAGCGCTTATGTAGAAGCATAGGAAAAACGATGAGTTTGCGGCAAACGCTCCTTGCACTATGCTTCTTACTTCCCATGGTCTTCCACGTCCCCCTAATACACTCAATGCTCCAGCATATGCGACTTCCGTCTCAGAGTCCCACGGTTCCTCTAACTTGTGAGGTTCCTCACGACTGAGTAAGTGTTTCCAATCCCGACGCATTTCTTCGCTTTGGTTGTCGTTAAGGAATTCGGACACACTATCAATCATGACGTACGCGACAGATTCGGGGTTGTCTTGGACAAGATCCAAAGCTCGTAGGAATAGATCTCTGATACTGTTAGACATACGTAGCCAGTTGAGAGGAGGAGTATGTGGTTCTAGAGGACGAGCTTGTAGGCGAGCAAAGCTGTGGATGCGAAGCATGCTAGAAGCCAGGCATGCGCAGTCGACATTCTGTATACTTAGCTCCGTTAAGTCTTTATGGTGTTCTTGAATCGCTAAGCTCAGATACTTGGCACATATATCGTTAGCTTCAAGATCAGTAAAGGTGCTGCGCTTCTCGGTATGCAGCGCAGCAACCATGTACATGCAGTAAAGCAGGGCATCGGATTCGAGGCCAGACGACTCAGAGCGGTCACCCAGAAGTGTTTCGCGCTTTCATCGAAAGCGAGTGAAGGACCCGTATCAGTGATATACTGATGGAAAAGCTTGAGCTCCTGTCTTCTTCGAGAATCTGATTCTGGAGACTCAATGGCTGTGTTGGTCGGGCTTGAACCTGACGATCTGGTGCTCTATGGTGATGGGGGGCTTCGATCATAGATGCATCGCAAGCTGAGACGATCGCAATGCGAGCATGTAGGTTTTGATTCATCGCACTTGAGAGTACCAAGTTAATTATGGAATGTATGCAATTACTTATAACTGAGGCGAGTATGTATTTACCTTTACACGACGACCTCGGCATTGCTGGCACCCTGTACGGGACTTTTTGTGGAACAACTTTGGTGCACGTTTGCATGGCAGCTCAGTGTCTTCCATGTCGAGGTAATGGCTTTTGAATAGAGACATCGAATTTTAATATCGAGATTAAGAATCAATGGGAATCTGAGCTGTTATAAACGATAACTAGGGAGAGCTGAAGGAGATTCCGCCAGCTCATTCCACTTTCCGATCTGGAGCTACCTTAGTATTTAGATGCACTAGCTGCCGATGATCGATGAGATTTGATTTAAGTGAAGTATTGTATTAGTAGTAGGCAGTTTAATTCACAGAGCTGGGTACGATAAGTCGACAGAAAGCGAGCGAGTTATGGCTGCAAGTGACGATCCTACCCTAAAGATATGGGAAACTTTGCTTCGTCTCACTTTTTCGCATGGACCATCCCAAGATCAGATTAGTTATTAATTTACTTGCAATCCTCTGTCCAATCAGTTGCTTTTGCGAAGAGGGTCAACCGAGGTCTACAAATAAGAAGTATGTTGAGAACAACCTTCACTTATCCCTCGTATCGATGGTAGTTCCCACATCGGCACATCCATTACTAGGTTATAACTGGAACCAACCGTTAGTTGGTTGATATTATACGTCGACACTGCAGGAACAAAGCCACAAAGTGCAATCCCGTAAGGATCAGAAACGTTATATTCCGCCATTTTCGTGGTATAGTTGCCACATCGGAAACTTCCCAATCAGATGAGTTGAAGATCAACAAGGCTGATCTAACAGCATATCTAACAATGGATATATATTTGCTAGTACGTCTGACCCTTGAGCCGGGTAGTCTTCTTTAGTATTCTCGGGATGTTTTAACCTTGACGTAGATCACCTAGTACCTCAAAATTAGCCATTGAACTCATTATACGTGCCAATTCAAGTAATGATAGCACGAAGAATAGATCCCAGTATTGAAATTAAAGGCCAAGACACGATAATCCACTATATCAACCCAAAGGCGCACTATCATCATCAATTCCTACGCCCTTCAAAGCTTACCCCACCAATCACGGCAATCACCACCCCGCAACTCGGAGCCATCTCCATATCACCTCATCCTTCGTTCGATATATAAATACAACATCACCATAACCCAAACATGAACTCTCGTCTTGCATTCTCACTCTCTAGAGCTAGAATTGCGCCTCGCTTCACTACTATCCGAACAATGGCTTCTTCATCTGTTACCGTTCCTCCCGGAAAGTACGAGTTTCTCGTAGTCGTCCATGACAAGCCCAATGTTCGGGAGAAGAGACTCGAGGTTCGAGGGTGAGTTTTTAATTTTGTATTACATGTGGCTTGAGCTAACAGGCCGAAGAACCCACTTTAAGAACATGGTTCCCAACGTTGAGAATGGAAGCTGGAAGATGGGAGGTGTGTATTCCTCCAAACAGGCCTAGGAGCTGGATCCTAACAATGAGACTAATGCTGTGTCTAGGTGCCATTCTAAACAGTGTTCCCAAAGACGATAGTGTCGACAGCCTAGACTTTGCTGGCAGCACCCTTGTCTGTATTGCTGAATCCGTAGAAGAGGTCCGAGAGCAACTTAGCAAAGATATCTATGCTACATCAGGCGTCTGGGACATGGACAAGGTAAACGAAACGTGAATCCATTAGAGAACAATTTGCTAATGTGATATGCAGGTCCAAATCTACCCCTTCAAGGCTGCCTTCAGAATGAACTAATGCACAAAGTCAATACCATTACCATAGACTCACGATAGAGCCCCTATTCAGAACAGTGAACTGATACCATTTCTGCTAGTTATCATGACACATCACCATGATGTTCCTGTTGTCCATCCGTCAATTGCTGAAACCTCGAATCTTTGTGATCAGTCATTCCCTACCGCCTGCTAATACCGACCCTCAATAACCCCTGCATACCAGTGCCATTACCAGCTCAACGAAAGCGAGCTCAAGCCATTATCAAAAACCGCGAGGAAGAGCTATCTGACCTATAAAATTCCGATTCCAATTCAAGTAATAGTAACGCCATCGTACACTGACATATCCATGCTCCTTTGGTATGGCCTGCCACCAAGTCGTGCGTGGTCTAAGCTTCGTTGCCGTTTGAACCGCTCTCTGCTGCTTCTTCGGCTGCAACTCTCAATTCGTAGTTGAGATCAAAGCATTCGGCCAACAATTCGGTAACACTGCCTTGTCCTTCGGGAATGTCGCCATTTACCACAAACTTGCCGTCAACTTTCATGTTATCAAGGGAGTTGAGCTGTTTCATGTTAGAGAGATCCAGGCTATGCTACGATGCATCCACATACCTTCATGCTGTAGGGGTAGAGTTCCCGCACAGAGGAGACACCCCCGTTCTTCTTGACCTCAACGAGGCAACGCTTCAGTGTCTGCAGTTGGTTGTAAACTGGCAACAGAGCTTCAGACACTGGTTCGGATGCCAGCATAAATGAGTAGATGTACGCATACGACCGTCGGATCAGGTACAGCAAAGTTCGCTGAGTCCACAGATCAGCTGGTCGCCCCCGCTCGTCTACCCAGTTCCCGTTCTGTCGACTCTCATCAATTCTGTCAAGTTGCCGTTGGAAATCGTACAGATCCGTCTCTCGGAGCGACCATGCTTGTGTAAGAGAAAGCTTCTCGAGGTCATTGCGAATTTGGATAAGCTGGTCATAGATTGGTCGCCATTGCTCAGCTACCTCTCCTTGTCTTTAAATGGTCAGTAAATCTTCATGTAAAATATCGCCAATCTCACCTCTCAAGAACCATGTCCGACCAGCGGACGCAGCGGTGGTACAAGTCTCGAAGCACTTCACCTCCCTCCTCTAAAGTTCCATCCTCTGCGGTAAACGTGCCCCCATTGTGCTTTTCGCCAATTTCCAAGATTTGGTTCCGTAGCTTCTTGACCTCGGATGTGGAGAACTAGTAACGTTAGCACATCTCGGAACATTCCATTCCATTCCAGTCTCGCTCACCTTGGACTTGGTGTTGGCCAACGAGATCGATCGCAAGATCGAAATGAGCTTCTCATGAGCCTCCAGCAGGTAATCTGGCAATCGCTCTAACCTCTTCTGAAGTCGCGACAAGGTTGAGTTGCAGAGCGCAACGCGGTTCTCAAGTAGTGCGAGCATGTATGGAGGGTGTCGCTTATCGGGTGATGGATCAGTGGCGGCATCATGGATGCTCTTAGACAGATCCTCGAGTGTAGACTTGATGCTTCCGAGATCCTTGGCTGAGTAGAGCTCGGCTTCGGTGAGGTGATCGAGTAGTCGCTTGACAGTTGAGGTCATAGCGTATGTTGCTGGTGCCTCATTGTTTCGTCCGATCGTGAGATAGAAGAGGGATAGCAGCTGGAAACAGCTCTCCAAGACCTTGTCCACTGGAATAACATCGTTAGCATGTTCGCATTTGGATGCGACAAAGACGGTGACATACATCTGTTCTCCTCCTTATCGCCTCTTTCGGCGCGCACAACCGCCAACTCCTTGACCTGATCCATGGTCTCATCAAACAATGGCATGACATCCTGCGTTCGAATGTAGTTTGTGCGATCCTGCTTAAGAAGCAGTAGGCGATCTCGGACCAGCTGTAGCTTCTCGAGGATAGCTTGCTCCCGGGGGTCCCGCGGCATTGGGATTGCTGGAGTCTCCATGTTGATAGATGCTGTTTCCGAGCTCCCTATGGGTGTATCGCAGAGATTTATGTGATGTAAAGGATTGAAAGAGTAGTAGTTTTTCGCTATTGAGCTTGGAAGTGTATTGGCTTGTTGTTTGTGCCTTGCGCAACGTCTCCGAGGCTCCGAGGAGTGACGAAAGTCGACGAGTGGCGGCGGGGCTCAAGATCCAGGGAAGTTGAGTCGGCTTTTGGTGGGGAGGTCGTGGTGAACTAACTAACGTAGGCGCGATACAAGTCACAAGATATTAACTAAGCGATGGATGAAGAATCGTCCCTTAGTCTGGAGGGAGAATGCGGAGATGAGAATGCAATGGAAGATAAAATAGTTGATGACGGAAGAAGTTGACTAGTGGATGGTAGATCGTGGAGAAAAGATATCACGGTTACAGGCCAGTCCAGTTCAGTTCATTTCAGCTGGACCTGATCTTCTTTGCCTCGACCAAGAATGGATGTTGTCACTTAATCATGGCAACTGGAAGGCCTAGACCGACCCCTCCATCAGGTCCTGCAGTCACTTCACCTATTACCGTACTCGGTACGCCCTACGTCTGCACTCTGCGGCATTGAGCCAGACGACAACGGCTAAGCTGTTTGCTAGTGGGGGTTCCCAACAAGCGATGGTGGGCAAAGGAGAGGAGTTGATAGAGGATTAGTCTTTACCATTGATTGTTTATCAGACGTCAGTGGGGGTTGAATGCCATGCACTCAGAGAACTATAGGCCTGTAGTTTATACAATATATGATATTAAACTGTAATCATCCTCTTATGATCATGTCTTCATAGACAACATCTTCTCTCATGATGTCTCTGTCTGTTTCCCAAAGGTGGGGTAAAAAGCGCCTTCACAAACAACATTCCTGGAAACAATCCTCATTGGTTCGTTACTCACCACCCAATCAAAGGCGTGACTCACTCACTCTGCACCCACGGAGCGGATTAATTCAAATCGATAGGAACCTCCACTTTTCCTTTAGGTCTTGAAGCCCTCCAACCGAATTTCGACCAGGATTTTCTGTGGTAAGCATCCATTTGGTGATATTCCGACTTCAAACTACAACCGACTCGACTTCGTGCAGACTTTACAATCTCCCACCCGCACGTCAAAATCATTCACAATGTCTCACGCCGAGCTCGCTTCGTCCTACGCGGCCCTGATCCTCGCCGACGACGGTGTTGAGATCACCGTACGTTTTAACCCCGCGATTCTGTCGACGTTTGTGTGTGCGTGAGGTGATTGATAGCTAACATCGTCATCGCGACTCTTCAGGCCGACAAGCTCCAGACCCTCATCAAGGCCGCCAAGGTCGAGGAGGTTGAGCCCATCTGGACCTCCATCTTCGCCAAGGTACGAACCGATAATTCCAGCGATTTTATGCGCCCATATCCAGGACTACGATTTTCTGACGGATTTTATTTGAATAGGCTCTCGAGGGCAAGGATGTCAAGGACCTTCTCGTGAACGTCGGCTCCGGTGGCGGTGCTGCCCCTGCTGCCGGTGGTGCCGCCGCTGCTGGTGGTGCCGCTGAGGAGGCTGCCCCTGAGGAGGCCAAGGAGGAGGGTATGTCTACCCACGAAGCTCGACAAATGACTGCGGATTGCTGACAACCACTACAGAGAAGGAGGAGTCTGACGAGGACATGGGCTTCGGTCTCTTCGACTAAGAAGTTACGCCGCTACGACTGTTTCCTTGTTCTTTGTACTTCGACTGCATGGCTTCGGGGTTTCCAATCGATCGATCATACAGGATGGAGAGCGGGCACTGTAACCTGCGCCCTGGACAGAGTAGCTTCTTTCATACGATGCTATGAGGAACGCACTCAACGGAGTTTCGCGGAGGGAGAATTGGTCAATTCATACGGCTCTGATAAAAAAAAGTCCCGCCATGGGTGGTTTGAGTTCAACTGGGTTTTCTTCAAAGCGTGACTATCTCGCCAGAGTGCCAGCGATTGTGATTGTGACCAAGACGAATCATTGCCGTCTTTCATCTGTTCTATTTCTACCTAAAGGACTTTTTCTGTTCTTCGTAGTACTACAGATTCATCTCCCATGTCCCCACCAACGCCGCGCCATGCACAATCTTTCATGTCTACGTCAGAGATTTATTTGACGATCAGGACGGATGACGGAACCAATCCCGCCTCCTTCAGGGTCTTGGAGAAATCGACGTCACCCTCAAAGGTCTTGCGGGGAAACGTAGTCGTAAAGCTTGACACAGCATTCCCTGTCTCGCTCTGTAGCTGCTGCGCCAGCTCGAACAATGTTGTCTCAGCGGGCAGGGTCTTGGTGATGTTTCCACCATCGGTCTGTAGTCGAAGTCGGGCCTCGTTGTGGTTGCTCTTGGGCTTGGATGCGGCAGCGACACCAGCAGCGCCACCAGGAGCAGCAGCCTCGGCTTGAGGAGCTCGACCCTCACGGGCTGCCTTGGCCTCCTCTGCCTTTCGGCGTCGCTCAGCTTTGTCGGCCTCGATCTTTGCCTTGATGCGCTTTTTGGCCTCCTGATCCTCGAGCTTCTCTTGACGCTTTTGGGCTGCTTCCTTGGCTGCCTGCTTACGGGCCAGCTCTTCCTTGGCCTCCTGGCTCTCCTTGGTAGACTTTTGGCGAATTTGCTACGACAGGTTAGAATTTAGCGAATGGTGCGACTGGATGAGTTTGTTACCTCGTTGCGCTTGTGATCTTCCTTGTCCTTGACAGATTGAAGAGCTCTCTTGGCGGCGAGACGCTCGCGAAGTTGCTCAAGCTTGGCCTTCTTCTCGTCTTCAGTTAGAGGGGCAATCTCCTCTGTTGACTCCGAGAAGTCAGTGTGCTCGCTACAGTCTCAATCAGTCAAATGTTCTCCGACAGATGTTTATGCAAGGTTGACATACGTCTTGGTCGCGTGATAGGTAGCCAGATCATGGTTCTTGAATCGCTTTCCACAATCATTGCAGATCAAGGACTTGGCAGTGCCAGTCTCGAGCTCTGCGATCTTGGCTTCCGTATCCTCGTCGTCATCATCCTCTTCCTTCGCAGCGGCAGCAGCCTTGATCTCATCAATAGGCTTGTCCTGGTTATCCTCAAGCCACTGAAGAGCGCCCTGAACTACTAAAGTCAGCGTGAAACGAGTCATGGAATATTGTAACTTACGGCCTCCAGTCTTCTTGACGGCAATCTCAGCACGTTCCTTGTCAAAGCCCATATCGAGCAAGGTATCGAGATCGGAAGGCATGTTGGCGGTGTTGTTTAATTACAGTTGGTGGTAGTGGGGTTGGATGAGGGGCAACTATTGATGAGTAGATGAAGTTGGAAAGAACAAAAAGAGACGAGATCTTGGTTATTGAGTATCAGTAAGTTGGTGGAATAGACAAAGATTCCCAGTCCAGAATAAATTGAAGCGGAATATGCTTTATGCACTGAGTTGTCCTTTGATGCTAGAACCAAAGCTTAGGTAAAGTGAAGCCTAAGAACGTCATTCAAGCCGCTGCCTCAGTGACGTCGCCGGGTTTACTACGGTTAAGCACGGGCGTAATCATGACTGAAATTCCGATATAGTAATTTCTCACTCTTCTCATGATGGATATTACAGCTTAAGACTTTATTTCCTCCAGGTTGACAAACTAGAAGCCGGGAAAAACACAATCAAACACGAACATTTGCAAGAGACAAGCTTCATAGAACAAAGTCTACAAAACCAAACAGTCACACTTCATATCTATGCAACCAGTATCTACCGATTCAAACAAGCTATTATCATTAAGTGGGCTCGCTAATGAGCCTTGGGTATCATCATAAGTTCATGCCGTCTATATAGCATTCAGACAAATTCTTAGTCCTCTCGCAACCGTCTTCACCACTGAAGCGGCCAGCTGCCGTGCTTTCGAGCATATGCCTCTCCAAGACGATTCAGCACCTCTCGCGAAACATCTTGATGGTACTTCCTGCACCAGTCGTTGACTTGGTTTCCATTGAGAGACTCTTGTTGAGTAAGAGTCAGATATCGATGTAGGTATGCAACTGCATCTTCCATATCATCGGCTCGGATGTTGTCGTAGAGACTGTTGAGTTTGCTGCACAGCGCATAGTCCCACGGGGCAGCATAGACTGTCAAGCCGCCGTAGTTTCCGCGATGCTCGAAGATGACCTCACGCTGGTCCTTTGCCCATTGAAGAATATCAACTTGAACATTTCGAGGCACGAAGAATTGCATCGAGTTGTTGAACCACTGCTCTCCGAGAGTTCCCTGAGCCTTCTTGTTGGCGAAACTGGCAGCATTGCTGAGGGTGATGTACTCTTTCGAGGCAGGATCGTGAAGAAGAAACTCGACGTCGGGACTTGTCTCTCTGTGACGTAGATAGAGTGTGTTCACAACACCGCCGACGACAGCACACTTTACATATGTACCGCATTCGTTCAGGTACTCGGCCATGTGTTGGAAGGCGTCGATGATTTGTTGTCGACTCAGTTCTGAGGTTTCGGGAAAATCTTGAAAGATGGACGAGGGAGTCATGACAGAGCCAACTGAATGGCTTGAGAGGGTGACAGGACGGATAGGTCGAGACTCCATCTCGAGGATGTGGCGAGAGTTGTTGCAGCCCATAATGAAAGTGGTGAGAGTTGTGCAAGGGTAGGTTGAAACAATATTGGGTTAATATCGAGTATTATACTGCAAGAGATACGAGAGATCTATCTAGATATCGTATAAAGAGCTGATCTTCTCGGATTCAGTCCACCTGACTCTGGAGATCTGTTCGTATAAATACCAAAGCCAAGTGCCGAGAAGCCCTACTGCACCCTTTAAGACAGGAGTAGGACACACATATTTGCGCCATAAGCGGTTGTTCCAGAAGAATTCAGTCAGTCGTAGGACGATTCTCTACTCCTACTGTAACGTAGGAGCAGAGAAATGGAGTAACCGCCCGTGGCACCGCCTCGTGTCGATCAAATACGAGGGTCCTACCCGCAGATGGCGTTCTTGTGAGCCTTGCTATCCACCTTTTTGTTCAGTTTGGGGGACTGTGGTAGGCTGAGTCTGACTTATCCGTAGCGTCGGAATTCAATGTTTAGGATATTTTTAGACGGCTTATCCCTCGAACAGTTGCTAGTTTTAAGTGTGAGCGGTTGGTTAAGATGTCGTGATATTTAGTCAAGTCGTTCATCGCTCCAGCCGCCAACTGCTCATTAATTGAAGCCTCTTGTGCCTGAGTTGAGCATCGTTTGGTGATGTTTGCAACGCAACTCAGCCTTTATAACTACCGACTGCCACCACCCACGAGCTGACCACGTTCTTGTCAGCATTTAGAGTCAATAAAATGCACTGGAGGTTTCACCACTTGGAAGAATTTTTCGTTCTAGAGTTGCACAGCCTGTCGAGTCTCATCAGTTCGAGAATATTCAACGAAGTTTGCTTGGGCAGCAACTGAAGTCATTGAAGAACTCACTCATCCAAGGATTATTACAACCCCCACACGCTGACTTCTGAAGAAACGTTTTCACATACCTAGGCTCAAGAATAGAATGTAGGAAAACTCGAGACTTCGATTACAAGTAAGAAAAGTACTTGGTCAAGTTTAAATAAACCTAGGAGGCTTGCTAACCAGTTGTTATATATAGTCCTCGTGTCAAGTCTTTTTGGTCTGCAGTGTTAACTCAAATCAACTCAACTCATTCGCAGACCTCATTTACTTCAGACCAGTTAACGAAACTTACCTATTCTCCACACAAGATATCACTATGCTCATTCCTTGTCGTTTATTGTTTCAATCTATATGGAGGTGGGTATCAAAACCGTTCGAGAATGTTTGTCAATGCTCAACAAAGAATAGAGAGTTCATGACGGCTGCGCTAACAGACCTGCCAAGCACTGACGCTACCTCACGTTTGCCTCGGCCCTCCACATCTGTTCTCATACCATGTGCCATGATGCCCTCACTTCCCTGATTTGAGACGCTTCACCGTTCAGGTGCTTACCAATACAAGGACCTGCATATCATGGACCAGCTGGACCCTTTTTTGTGGACAGCAAACGGAGACTTGAAAAGATAGTGGGCAACGGCAGGTCAATGGAGTAAACAGCAAAGGTAAAATGCAAAGATGACGTTTGAATGAGAATAAGGTATGTGGTGGCTTCATCAACGTTCAATCGATGGATATCTATGAAATCAATGACAGTTTTTGGAGCATGGACGAGATCCAATAGTGACTGATAGCGGAGTTTAAGCCCCCTGATGGCTCGTGCGCCCTGTAGCAACCACCTGAAGTTGAGCCGACTCAACTGGGAATAGGAATAGGGCGCCATAGCAGAAGCAATTACGTCGTAGGAGATACCAAGACACAAACCAACGTCAACCTGCCTTCCATTCCCCTTCCCGTCGAGTCCTAGGTATACTCAACTCAACTCACCACACTCCACTCCACTGCTACTAATCTTTCATTTCGTCACCAATTTCTTCCTTCTCCCACGCGACCAACTTCCTCAAATCTTATCGATTCGGTGCTGCCTCGTGTCGCTATACTTTTAACTTACCTTTAATCAAACTTCCCCCCTTTGCTAATCAACGACATTCATACTGTACTCTACCTCCCGTTGCCACGTTTCCACTTGGTTACCGCCGAGGAGCCATCGCGCGATACCACAAACCACAACAACTTCAGCATTTTCTTACCGCTACCACGATAACAAGTCAACATGTCGGTTGATATCGAGCCGTTTGAGCTGTCCTTTAGACGTGCGTGATCTGCGATGAACGATGACGGGCCTCCGAGGATTGACATGATTGCTAGGCCCTTTTACCACCGAGGTCTCCCAGACCTTGACTCTGAAGAATCCCAACCCTACCCCCGTAGCTTTCAAGGTCAGTCGATCGGCGATTCCCATACGGCGGCTTTACTAACAAGAAGTATAGGTCAAGACCACCGCCCCCAAACAGTATGCTTGCCCCTCTAACTGAGCCCTTCCGATCGCATACCTGACACCTCATTAGATACTGTGTACGACCAAATGCAGGCCGCATCGAGGCCGGCCAGAGCTTCGATGTCTCTGGTGAGTCTGCTCTTCAAAGCGCATTCCGACGGCCGTTAACAATCACATAGTCCTCCTTCAAGCTATGAAGCAGGATCCCGCTCCTGACGCGAAGTGCCGTGACAAGTTCCTTGTCCAATCCGCCCCCATTACCGCCGATAAGGAGTTTGCCAGCGTTGCCAATGTCGTACGTGGCCAATCGCCTTCAAACTCCAGACTGGGATAAACTGACAAAATTACCAGCTTGAAACAACCGACAAAGCCCACCTTATCGAGCGCAAGATTCGAGTCAACTGGCTCGCGGCTGGCGACGCCGACCAAGCTCCTAACCGACCTTTGTCCACACCTAACAAGCAGGCTATTGCTAACGGCGTAAGTCTCACCGACTCGGATTCGGAATTTGACAATTAATCGTATAATCTAGATCAACGACACTCCCGACGTTTCGCGTACATTTTCTTCACCTGGCGTTCGAGATGAGTCGCCCTCATCCTCGGCAGCGCCCCCTCCTTACCAATCACCCAAGGAATCCTCCTACGAGGACGAGAAACCCAAATCTACCTACGAGGATTCCGAAGTCAAGAGCACCATTGCTCAAGCTACAACAGCCATCAAGGAGACTGCAGAGCTGACCTACGAGGAGCTTAAGGCTAAGCTTGCCCAGGCGGAACAGCAGCTTGTGGCTCTCAAGGATAGCGGTCTTCGACAGCGCAACGTCAAGTCCGCCTCTAGCGATGATGACAAACGACCTCTCGCGCAGACCGCCCAAGCTGTCACCCAAACCGTCGAAGGTGTCCCTGTGCAGATGGCGGCCATTCTTTGCTTGGTCAGCTTCCTGCTTGCCTACTTCTTCTTCTAGAGATAAGGAGGAAGTGGCAGTCCTTGGATCTTTTCGACAAACGAAATTAATAGACAGGCTTGACGACGCTCATGAGAAATCAGCCGGAGACTTGGGATCCCCGGATGCATAAATCTTCAAAGTACGGCGAGGACAAAGCATAGGATCAGGAAGCATATCATACGATCGGCGGAACACTGCAGGATTCACGGCTCAACATGATTCGAAAACCACTTTAAGGATACCTTTGAGACAGCGAACCGTGTCGCCAGGAGAATGTGGCTTCGGTCAGCAGGGTTACGAACGCCTTGCGGCTGGAATTGAAAGTTGCGCTGAGGAGTTTAAAAGCGATGGGAGGAGGATGTGGCTTCCGAGGCGGAAGCTTTGACTGTACACTCTTACCTTGAGCCTTTCATGGCTCTCGTATTTTCTTGTGTCGTATTATTCTGTTTGCGTTAACTGATAAATTTGGAGTTCTAACTTGTACCTTACGTTGACTCTCCTTTTCATCTTTTACGTCTCCCGATCATTTGCAACCTTAACCGCTCCATCATTTACATATTACCGACTGAAAGTCTGGAGTCGTTACACAGGTACCGAAGGTGATAAATCGTTATGTCAGAGTAGGACTCTTGGAGTGTTGTGATCGCTCAAAAGACTGTATTTGTTTATTTGTCCATACCCTAAAACGCCATGCAAGATCTGTATTCTATGGTGCTTTTGTCTGAATCTATGCTGTGTAGCTCAGCCAAGAGGTTACCAAAAGTAGCAAAAATGTGAGTTGACCTTGGCCTTGATATGCCACACCCAGTATCAAAATATCAAAACAGCTGCATTACAAGGAATTCTATGTACTTTTGCGTTGCTTCTAAATCGACTCGATCTCAGACTGCTTCCAGTCGGCAACAGCACCGCCGCCGACAAGACGGCCACCCTGCTTACGCTTGACGCGGCAACTCATGCCAACGTTCTCATCGAAGATGAAGCGCCAGATGGCATAGCACCAGCTCTCGTGGCGGGGCAAGTCATCATAGAATTCGTGAGCAATCTCACGCACCTTGTGGAGACGAGTCCAGGGCACTGCGGGGAAGTCGTGGTGCTCGTTGTGAAGACCGACATTGTAGGTGAACCAGTTGAGAGGCCCATAGTAAGAGAAGGTCTCAGGGACGGGGATCTTGTTCTCCGGGTCGCGAGCGGAGGGAGCAACGGTCTCGTACACGTAGTGCTCGGCGATGAAGTGGCCAGCCAGAGGGTGAAGACTACCGGCCAAGAAGGAGGAGAGCAGCAGGTAGAGGAAAGAGTTGATAGAGGCGTACTTGAGAAGAACGAGATCGAAGGCGACCTGGACAGCGATGTTGAGGGCGTGGACTCCAGTCAAAGGAATGCGGTAGACGGCCATGGGTCGCAGGGCGTAGAAGAAGATCTGGAAAGTGCAGAAGAAGGCCTTTCCGAGAATCGAATCCAGAACGAAGGCCTCGAAGGCAGTGGGAAGATCGGTATCGAGGCCATCAACGCCGAGGGACTTGTGGTGGGTAAGATGGTATGGCTGTATCGAGTTAGCATTATTTCAGACATCGAAATGCGATCTGGGTCACATACTCGGAACGAAGCACTGTAAGGAATACCAATGGGAAGGTTGGCAAAAATAGCGATCAGACGGTTGAGACGAGCACTTCGGAAAGCCAGGTTATGGGAGATCTCGTGGATGGCGAGGAAAAGGTTCTGGTTGGCAGTGGCGCCAAAGACATAGGCGACAGCCCAGAACTTCCATGAGAAGAAAGGAGTCGACTGGAGCATCCATGCGAGGAAGACCTGAAGAGAGACGACACCGAGGACGACCCATTTCGTGAGAGGCTCAGGACCGCAGAGCTTGGTGATCTGTAGATGAAGGCTAGATTAGCGATATGTCATGACACAGCGGGGCCAATCGGTTAGAGCACGAACCTCGGGGTGAGCCTTGATAATAGCGAGACGACGAGTTCGATGAGGCTCCTCTGTGTATGTCCAGAAGAAATCGTGGCTCTTATCAGCACCTTCAGCTGCCGCAGGAGCTGGGGAAGGGCTATCGCCCTTTGCCCTCGAAGTGACCGTAGATGAATTCGTCGCAGGCATCTTTCCTTCGATAGTTTGAAAAAGTGAAAGAAAGTTAAAACCCCCCGAAGAACAAAAGTGCAAGGACGGTTGAATTAAAAAAGAATGTGGTACATTTGCCTCCTTGTAGCTGCGGCGCGGGAGACAGAAACAGGGGGCAGAGAAAGCTACGTGGAAGGCGGTGAAAATCCAGGTCCAAATGTTAATTGGGGGAATTTGGCCAATGATGGCTTAGTTAGGGGCTAGATTTGGCGGGTGGGGGATGGTTTTTGAGGGGTTCAAGAAGGCGGGGCATGTTCAGACCACTCAGAGAGGCGAATTGTATGGCGTGGCATTTGAGATCAGCTTTATTTGTGTGTATCATGAGCAATTGAGCAGCATTGCCCAGCAGTGATCGATTGCTGTGCAAGATCAAATTTGGTGTGCACTGCGCTGAGCTGGCTCGATCACTATTACTTCTTACCTCAATAACAAAAAGAAAGAGAGGAAAACAATCCTTATTCTATGAATAAAGTTGTCGAACGAGAAGAGGGGAAATGGTTCGAGTGGTGCCATTCGGGACCGTCAATTTCCGTTGGTAAACACCAAGACCATACGATTATTCGGTATTTGTTGGAAACTCCCTGGTTCTGACTCTCTCAGTTCTATTTACGAGATGCGTAATTGCGGCAATCTGGTAGGGCTGTTCCCCTAATAGGTGGACCAATATGATCAGGATAAACAGCAAACGGTTCGTGATACTAATGAATGTGCGAATACGAATACTAGATTGTCAACGTGTCTTTCCGAAGTGCTCAACTTGATTGTATGTATAGTGAATATATGAAGAAGGCTTCTTTAAGTGTTCCTATCAATTTGACATCCAAGATAGTTTAGAAGTTAGGTAAAGATCCATCCGAATGTACCAGATCTAACGATAGGTCAATGCTGTCAAATGCCTATAATCGACATCTATATATGCACGTCACGGTCTGCAGCAACTTTGCCTCATTAGAATCTAATCAAAATCGATTTTGATTGATAATTTATGATATGAACGTGCTTAAAAGGAAATGCATCAGAAGGGGAAAGTGCATGTGACAACGAGTTCTGGGCGTTCTTAGCAAGAATTGGTTGGCGTGGGTGTCGAGCTAAGGTTAAGCTCAGGCAGAGCCTCAGCCTCCACTTCAACTTTACTTCAACATCTACGACATGTCAGCGGCTACTTCAACGATTCGACATAGTGGATCCAGTTCTACAACTTCGTATGTTCCGTAACGGGACCGATCGTGACTGAAAGCAGCCCATGACCGTCTCGATCAAGAAAGACCAACTCCGCGTGTATTATTCCAGCTCGGGTATCATTGCATAACGTATTTCTCTACAACTTCTCCCTTCTCTCCTCTTCATTTAAAGACCGTTAGACGCACACGAGAATACACCAGCCACGGTGCCAGCCTCGTACTGGTCAATGATGCCCTGTACACTGGCATATGTACCAACAGTAAGGAACATGATACCAATCGCAATCAAGATGAGGTTAACAATGTTTCCAGTAAGATCAGCAATCTTGCCATGCCGTCGACCAATCTCCTTATCAGCTTTGCGCATTCGGAAATAGGCAACTCCCCAGAAAATGAAACCAAACCAACTATCGAAGAGAGACGACATGACGGAAAGCACTGGAAGGCAATGGTCAGCAACGATCGATGTAATAATTCCGCTTCAAATACTTACGAGAGTTAAAGAATGGGATGACCATGGCAATGATGAAGGCAAAGATCCAGGTCACAAGAAGGATTCCACTCCAAGATCCCCAACCAACAAGAGTGTGACTGTTCAAGTGCTTAGAGTTTCGGAAAAGTCGGAAAAAGACGAAGCGAGCCGATACTGAGGCGTAAAGGGTGCCAAGGAAGATGATGGTAGGAATCATGAACGAGAAGGCCGCTTTCTTGTACACATTCTCGAGCGAACCAAAAGCCGGCGCGGTCACATATTGGTTGCCGGTATAAGCATATACTATGGCTCCAACGAGACTGAAAACGATGATCTCAGCAATCGTACACGCCCAAAGAGCCTTGGGGAAGTCCCGAGGATCTCGCATCTCCGCAATGAAGCTGGGCAGGGTGATCTGGCCGATGAAGGTGTAGCTGATGTTGAGAAAAGCGGACATTCCGTTGACAAATGTCGTGCCCTTAACTGGGATAGCTGTAACAATAGGCTCGCCCAGCTTCGCGGGATCGTATCCGAATGGGTGATCCTGAATACCGGCAAAGATGGCAGCAAGCAGAACGGAAATGAAGGTAAAGAAGGCCGATGCTGTTCCGAGCTTGGCCATCATATCAAACGTCCTGGGCAGGGAGCAGACCCAGCTGATGACAGCAACAATAACCGAAAACATAACGGTCCGGCAGCTACCAACATCATCGGCTTCGGTCATGGTGTTGAGGTACTTGGCACCAACCAAAACGTGAAGACCTTGAATGAAGGTGTTGTTGAGAATGAAGCACACAGCAGTTGCCCACCAAGCCCACTTCTTATCCCAGAATAGCATCTGTCCAATATCGCAAACATCGCGCATCTCTGGGTGGCGGAGGCAGAATTCCCAGAGAACGAGACTGGTGTAAAGAACGATGAGAGCAACCACAATCGTCAGGATAATGCCAGGCACCAATCCGAGGACACTGTACGACCAGGGGAAACTCATAATGGCAAGACAAATGTACTCGCTGAAAAGCAAACCAGCAGTTTTCTGCCATGAGCAAGTGCGGTACTGGATCTGTTCTCCTTGTTCGGCAGCCAGCTGTTTGTTGAGAATGGCAGAGCTTGAATCCTCAGAGTCTGAAAGATCACGCCTCACAAATTCGGGCAATTGGGCAATTCGAGGTCCGGCAGTGACACCCTCGCCACCAAACAGAGACGCCCATCGTGACGAAGGAGTTTGGAGTTCAGATTGGCGGCGCTCTGGATCAGGGCTTCCACCCGCAGAACCGAGAGATGTCTTTTCAGCCATTATGACAGCGTAAGGGGAGAGTGTGAGCTTGTCGGGGCTGAAGGTGTGTTGTGTTGAATTGAAACACCACGATGTTGACCAAGTTCAAGATGTCACGGTATCGCAACAAGAACAAAAGAAGAAAGGTGGGCCAGGCACAAATCACAAACTAGGCGAGTGCTAGGTGTGAGCGAAAGAAAATGCTGGGAAACGAGCTGCATTTAAAGAGGGCGAAGATCTCAACTCACAGACATAATACCACACCGAGGCTGCGATCCTACGATCCCTACCAACTTGGCTGTTGGTCACACAAACAAGGTTCAGGGCCTGCTTCCATCCTCGGCGTAGAAGCTCACTACTAAACTAGAAATGGGGTCTTTTAG